ACAACAACGACAAGCAGCAGCAGAAGTAGCAGCAGCAGCAAAATGAGCGCCAAAGGGCGCTTGACACGGCAGCTCGCACGTGTCAATGCGACTGGGTCACAAATTTCATTATGAAAAAAAATTTAAGATAGAAAAAACAGCCAAAAAAACAAAGTTCTGTTCAAGCCGAGAGTGTGCTTTTGGGGCATACCCTGTACATACACAACTTTCTGCTGCTTTTTATTTTAGCTTTAAAGATTTATAAAAATTTACGACTGAAAAACTTCCTGGTTTACCTTCCGATTGTTGTCAAACTTACGTAGTTTAAAGATGTCGCCCTTTAAATAAAACGATAGATCGTCGAACAGATCTTAAGATATACTATATATATATATATATAAACACTCTTTGGCCATGTGTATCTACTGTCACATACGCTCGCACATTTGTACAGGGTATGCAATTTCGTGAAGCGTTGGCACATTCAAATCCTGCGCTAACTGGCGAATGTGTTACACGTTTCATCATGTTGTTGTTGATATTATTAAATATATGTATACATATATATATATATATGCTTGGAGATTTTTACTGGCAACGGCCGCAGCATGCAGCGTTGTGTAGTTTAGGCCAAATTAACATATCACATAAGCCGCAGTCGTTGTCGCAATCATTGCTGAGGCCAATCCTCGTGGCATGTCCTTGCTGGGGACGTCGCTCTGGCTTTTTGGCTCTGCTTGACTTGTCACTTTGAGGCAACGCCAAGGCAACCCAGATATGCATGCATTTACTGTATATAGGCCTAGGCTGGCTCTTAATGCTTATGCTTTCGCTTCTGGGCCATTGACTGGCCCACAGTCCACAGCCCCCCCCCTCCGTAACCGGGCCACCACCCATTCAGCGCCGTGCCACGTCATGGCTCATATCACATTTTTGCTGCTTGCTGCTGTCTTATAACATGGAATGTCTTATGAATCTGTTGGGAATGGCAGCCGAAAGTCTTCTTAACGTCAAGTGCTTTTAAAGCAGAGTATATGTGTACTACATTTTGCATATGACGCTCTTCTGTTGCTTTTACAACGAACCAGTAAATTACAAGTGTACTATATTTTTCCTAATTTGTTCACATAATAGCTTAAAGCAGAAGCTGTGCATATGAGTCAAATTATTAAATCAACTAGTAAACGAGCTAAAGATTGAACCATTAAATTAACCAGTGAGTTGTCGTCAGTCAAAACTGTACTCTCTTGACGTTTAATCTACAATCAATCAGTCATGGAACCAGAAAGAGAATGAATATTGTAAAATTGCCAAATTGAACGAGCTATTGAAGCAGTAAGTTTTCGGCAGTCAATTAAATCTTTACTCTCTCGGTGTTTGGTCTACAATTGACCAGTCGTGGAACCACAGAAAGAACCACAATCGTACATATCTGTCAATTTGTTGACTGTTGCATAACAATTTGGGTGCCGGTTGTAGACTGAATAACTAAATGAACCACTTGAAAACCTTTGACGTAATGTTGCAAAGGAAAAGAACCGAACGAACTAATTCACAAGAATCGTAACGCATGTTTTTAGGTGACAAAAGCTCGAATTATACTGAACTAGTTGCACTCGCCATTGAAAGCGTTTTCATTAAAGCAATATTAGAAGCAAATTGCAATGCTCTCAATTGCAGTTTGAATAGTACTCGAGTCATCAACTGCTTCAGCAAATCAGGCATCAAAGAGCTTGAAGATAAATGCAAACAATTTTCTTTATGTTCTCCAGTGGTTCATAAACCGAATCACTGGTTCAATGGCAGCAAAATGACAAATAATTTCTAATCAAATCTTTCCATCTCTGTGCAAAAGTATCCCCCCCTCTCTCTCACCTCTCTTCCACTTCCACTTCAACTCACTCTCTTTATCTTTTTCTCTCTCTGCATTGTGTTTGTAACAAGGCACTGCATTGCTGGATCGCTCTCGCCTTTATTTGCATTTCTCTCGCTCTCTTTCTCTTGCTCACCCTACGCCAATGCTTTTTGTTTGTCTATCGTTATGTGTGTGTGTGTGTGTGTGTGTGTGTGTGTGTGCCGCACACATGCACACATTACATTTTGACAGTCGCCGATAAGTGCACAACTTTCAGCTTGCACAATTCCTTGGCATTCTTTGTTCTCGACTGCCTCTGCGCCCGCCCACGCGACCCACCTCGTCCTGCTCCACCCAGTCAGCTGCGCTGTGTACGTTTTATATATGGTTGTGCGTGCTCAGTGGGTGTATGCTGTGTGTGTGTGTGCTGTGTGTGTGTGTGTGTGGGTGTGAGTGTGAGTGTGGATATTAGTGTGCATGCCTTTTAACCAAGCAGATTAATGAAAATTGAAATTGCATTTACCGTTGATTGCTCAAAGACATCCAAACACTACACTTGCCACCCTCCTTGCCCCTCCCCCGGCCTGCCCACTCCTCGGCGACTGTCGCGCCATTTTGCTGGCAATTCTTGTGCTAGTCGCGCGAACCCCCGTGCCCCCGTTTTCCCAGCTCCCACTCCATTTCTACTGCCCACACACACACAAGCACACACACAAACACGCACGCACACATTTAAAACAAAGACCAAAATGATTCATTGTATTCTATGAATGCAGGTAATATTTTTTCACTTCTTCTTCGGTACCCCTCTCCGCCTCTCGCCACCTGCTCGTACTTCTTGTTTAGTTTGCATGTTGTATCATGTTGATTTGCTTGCGTTTTGTACACTTACAAAGGGCCTTATAGCTATGTCACGAGTTTTGTAACGCATACAAGTATATGTATATATACGAATATATATTCATGAACAGTATGAACAGCCGAGTAGATAAACAAAATATAAACCTCTGCCCGCCTCTATGCAAACTTTTTAACTGAAAAGAGCTCAAAACATTAGAACTAATGTGAATAATATGTGTGTCTGCAAGGATATTTGATCGTCGGCGTGCCATTGATAAGCTCGGTATTTTTTTTGTTATTTATTATAATTGTTATCATTTTTGTTGTTGCTGTTTGGTTGTGGACAGACAATAAAAAGCATTTCATTTGAATAATGTGAAAACATTTTGTTAGACAACGCCGTCGCCTTCGTCGCCGTTGCCGCCACTTCTTGCCACAATTTTAAACTGCTCAACTGACGTCTCTCTCTCTCTCTCTCTCGCGCTCTCTCTCTATCTCGCTCTCTCTCTCTCTCGCTCTCTCTCTCTCTCGCTCTCTCTCTCTCTCTCTCTTTGTCTCTATATCTATCTCTTCCACTCACTGGCGCGCCTCACTCCCGCATTGATTGCCCATTGATAGCAGGTCGACAAACAGACAAGCGGACAAACGCACAAACGGACGGACAGACGGACGTACAGCCACACGGATATTTAAATGACTTGGTCATTGTGCCATTAGCCTAGAGAGTTCTGTGACTGATGAAATTTGTACGGCCTGTGACCGGCAGTGGAACAACTTTATGTTGGAAATGAACTAGATCATTTTCAATCCAAACTAATATTAAGTATTGAGACTCGGCATATAAAAATAGTAGAGAACTTTTTGTGAACATTCTAAAATATTGCGACTTCTTTAGGAGGGTTCTTTGAAGTACAAATTTGATAAAATATAGAGTTTTCAGATCTGCGAGTGGAAAAAAATATATTTCCAGTTCTTTTGAAAATAAAAGTAAAATATTTTGTATTTCCATATTCTTTTTATACCCAAATATTTATGGGAGGAACACTGAAAATCGTGCATTGTAATTGACAAAGTATTATTTTCGAAATCATTTTCGAAACCAGAGCTCTGACAGTTGAGAGAACAAAATTATTTCTAATGCCTTTCAAATCGAGAACTGATTCTATGGTTGGAAAATTTTGCACCTGCAAATTTCTATGAAATTTTGTGGAGCAAGACGATTTGAAAATATATTTTTTATTAGTAATTTTCGAATTGCTTTCGTTGCCCCCAAAAGTATGTCACAATTTCTGCTTACCTGTGGCTACATTACTAATGTGCAGCCACGTATGGAAATTGTTTTGTATTGTATTGTATTCGTCAATTGGGAGCATGTATGAATAATTTGTGCTGCGTGGGAAAGGAGGAAGTGGGGTAGGGGGTAGTCAGGGGGGGGGGGGGGAGGGCGTGACTAAGCTGGTGGCAGAACAGTCCGTGGCTGGGGGAAGGGTAGGCTCTCAATGGTCCTGCAATCGATTAGCTAAATAAATTATCGATAAATGTTATTTAAATGGCACACTAAGTGCATTCAAATACGTGCCACAGATACTTGCTAATTTGAAAAGTAGATCAAATTTATGGAGAAGTTTGCATAATATCAGAACAAAAGCCAAACTAGTAAATGGACAACGGCAAACTACAGTTTGCATTGTTTACTGTGGTTTTATCGATTGCTATCGATATACATCAATATAAAATTTTATTATTAATCTGTTAATTATCTGTAAGGGTAAATATTCGTTTGTTTAAGAAAAATATCGATAAAATAACAACAGTCTGTGGTTTGGTTGATATCGTTATCGAAATGTTAATCGATTGATTTAGTAGATTTATTCATCACAATATCACATGCCACAACATATACAACGTGGGACTTAAATGTTTATCAACTTAAGAAAGGTGACAAGAACAAGGGTATTGTAAATCGATAAGTTATCGATAGAAGCCATTATTCGCTTCAAACTACGAACTAGCAATATTTATATGTGAGCACACAAAGCAATCAGTTTCAGTTTACTGAAGCTATCGTACTCCTTATTACATCCAAAATAAGTGGAAAGACAATGTATATCGATAAGTTATCGAAAGTGTTTATTTAATTGGCTATTTCTGCAAACTACGAACTAGGAGCATTTTGTTGTGAGCGCAAAGTCACATCCCCAATTAGTGACAATGGCAATGTATATCGATAAGTTATCGATAGCAAACATTATTCGCAACATCTGCAAGCTAGGAGCGAGCAATATTTTGCTTTGAGCACACAAAGCAATCTTTTTCATTTACTAAAGCTATCGTACTCCATATGACATCCGAAATATACCCAAAAATTGTTCACTCAACTAACATAAAAGACGCGTCCAGAAGATGGGCGAGAATCCCAATTTAATGGAGCAGCGTGAACGCATTGACAATGCGCTCATCAATGCCGTCGATGACATGGATCGGGAGCATTTGCGCAAACTGCAGCTGACGATGCACGGTTGTGCCAAGCGCTGCTGTGCCGACATGAACGCCAGTGCGGATGCGGTACAGCGTTGCGTAGATCGCTGCCAAATGCCGCTGACGCGCGCCCGCTGCTATGTGCAACAGGAGCTGGCCGAGTTCGAGTCCCAGATGGAGGATTGTCTGCGCCAGTGTCAGTTGCCCGGCGAAGATGATATCTGTGGCGGGCGTGTCGAGCGCTGCTCCTTGGACTGTGTGGATAAGTATGTGGCGCTATTGCCGGAATTATTGAACGCCATGCGCATGGAACTAGAGAAGGCCCTATAAACGGGCGGGGGCGGCCAACACAGGCAACAAAACATAACTACGTTATAGTCAGGAAATGCAAAAAAGTTAATTAAAATAGTTGTAAATAAATCAAAGCTTATCTAATGTCTGAACGCTGCCACACATTGACAGCCAGCTAAACTGTCTGTCTGTCGTGTCAGTTTTGGCCTATAAGTAGCGACAACTTGGCCGAGAAGAGCACAGAAAGTTGTTCCAACTGAAACTGAATACTGCAAAAAAACAAATCAAAAAATGCGTTGCCTCTTTTTACCGCTGCTTTGCATTGTGCTGGCCGCTGCCCAACGCGATCGCTTGGGATTCCCAACTGATACTGGCATCGATGTCGAGGAAAGCAACGATCTGCCGCTGGTCGAGCCGCGTCCGGCTAAGCAGGATGGGGCTGCAACCCAGCCCAACCCTGAACCGGCAGCTACAAAGCCAACATCAACGCCAACATCAAAGCCAAGCAGAAAGTTTGCCAGAAAGGTGCGACGGGTGCTGCGACGTTTGGGACTGCTCAAGGATAGATTGGCCAAAACCGTGGTGGATGCGCTAGCAAGAGATAGCATGCAGCTACTGCGCTTGGATGAACTGATGCACACCGCGGCGTTGGGACAGAGGCGTTATGATAATGCTGACCGTTGGCGTCGGCTTAACGCATAGGCTATGCTGCTGTAGTGTGCGTGTGTCTTCTGTTCGTGTATGTGTGCAATAAATGCAATAAATGAGTTTGCCATAAAGTGTATGGCAAGCCAGCAAAGCAAGCAACAACAAGTAGCTGCCGTAATGTGCCAACTGTTGAGTTTCCTTCCGCTTCCGCGAGGAGCGCTAGTCGTGCGCTCTCTCTCGCTGTCCCTCTCCCACACACACTCTCGCACTGTCATGCTCTCGCATTCCCGCAAACAAGACACAGCGACTGTGCCGGCATTATAGCGGCTGCGACGCCAGCAGCGGCAGCGAACAAACCCGAACGCCGTCGATGACTGCGCTTACAGGTGTTTATTATGCTTCGTGTATTGCGGCTGTGCATTCGTTCGTGTTCCACTGTGTAGGAGGCGTTGCGCTCCCTCCCCTCATTCCCCTCAGTCACCGTAGTCGCCGCAGTCGCATCGTTCGTCTCGTTCGTTTCGTTCGTCTCGTGCGCTCTTCGTTAGTGTGCGTTAGTTTTATGGCGCTCTTGTCGTGGGCGTGCTGGTTGCTTTATATTCCTGCGACTGTTGCGCTATCGCATCAGTTTCATTTGAACGCTCGTCAGGGCGAGTTGTGCAGCAGCAGCTGAGCAGAACCAGAACTCTGAACATTCAAAAACTCAACACTTCAAACTTCAATCAAATTCTCAAACGCTCATGTTGCTTGCCAACAACAACAGCAATCAGCAACTCGCTATCAATACTTTTTTTTATTGTTTTTTTGTGCAAGTGCAGTGCTAAAGATTTCGTAGCTCATTCAGAACAAAAACAAATAAAACAAAAAATTGCTTAAAAAATAAAAGAACTAATTAGTAAAAAAAAAAAAAAATATTTTTTGAAATTTGAGAGAAAAGAAAAGTAAAAAGTCGAGACTATTTGCATTTTGGCTCATTTTAATTTGCACAACATTTTGTGTTAGTTTTGTGTCTTCACTTTATTTTTTTATTGTTTGTTGGATTTTTTTTCGATTGTGTTTTCATATTATTATTAACTCTGCGGTGTAAGAATTTGTTGATTGCTTACGCACAAAATGTGCACAAAATTCTCACTGGATTCGAACGACTGAAAAGTGCGTCGTTCTCAGGACATTCTTCCAACAGTAAGTAACAAAACATAAATATTCGTTTATTTTTGAAAACTTTACCAAATATTTATGTGATGAATGTGGCGTTTATAGTTTTTGGAAAAACGCTTTTGGGGATTCATATTGTGCGTGTGCGTGTTTGTTTGTGTGCGAAAAAATGAGTGAAAAAGTTCATTTTTTGCATTTTTTTATTTTATTTTTTATCAGAGTTTTTTTTTTTGTGGCTTGCGTTTTCCAAGCTGGCGAAAGTTCTGTTTCAAAGTTTAAAGCATATTTGTGGTTTATTTCCATTTCCATCTTTTTGGCCATTTGATGTCCGAATGTTCAGTTTCAAATAAATATGCAAAAGTATTTAATTGAGACTGAAAGAATAACTTTAGTTTCATGGGATCAAAAGTTTTAACTTGCTTTTTTTCGTTTCTGTTATTCTTTTGATATTTTTTTTGTCATTTCCCAAAAACCATATTTGATTAAAGTATGAAGTGCATTTTGGCTATTTTTTAACGAATTTTATTTGTATTAATATGTATTTTAATTTAATTTTGCAATTCGCCATGAATCAAGGGCTTAAAATGCAAATTGCTTTTTGGTTTCAATTGAAATTATCTTCAAAACATTCGATTTATTATGACGTTTAATTGCTTTTAATCAGCTGTTTATGGAAAAGTTCGAGAATTCTTTTTGAAAACTTTAACTAGAAATTTTAGTCAAGTCGCACATCACGTATACGCAAATTGCAACTGCATGAAAATCGTTAGGAAAATGCATTGGCAACACAATAACAACAACAACAACAAAAAAGTAGAAAAATAAATAGAAAACAAATAGAAAAATGTAGAAAAACAAGAAATACTTTGACAATATGAAAGCATATTGCCAGGCACACGAAACTTTCTTGGGGCAGTTCAAGAATTGATTCAATGTCGCGTTTTTTAAATAACAAATTTGTGTACATTTTTAAAAAAGGGAGTAAGTAATTTCATTCAAATAATTTATTATAATATTCTATTAATTCGATTTTATTATAATTCGAATAATCATTTTTGAAGTGAGCTTGTTAATGAAATATCAATTGCATAAAATACGAATTTTATATATTTCTATTTTGCGATCAATTCTAATTGCTGCTATATATGACTCCATATCGGACTCCATAATATATATCAAATATGCTCTACAACAAATTTTGACCGGTTTTGCACGGCATATACTGAAATATTCAAAATAAGTTTTCATACATTTGCCAAACGTAGGTTATTTTATCAAAGTCAAAGTTTTTGAAATTTATTTCTAAACATATTTTTTAAGTTGCGTTTAAAAAAAGTTGCGTGCAATAGTTTTCTGGGCATTTGTCGACCTTAAAGTAGGACCCATAAAACACATTTTCGTAAATTGTGATAAATTTGCACAAAGAATGAAAGGAAAGGTCGGTTAGTCGGGCTAAAAAAATAAGCTTAAAAATATAGATGAATTATATAAATTATAAAATATTGAAATATAAAAATAAAGAAATAAATAAATCAATACTTAAAAAAATATATAAATATTATACACATTCATAAATGAATGTTAAGAACAGATTTATTTGTTAATATAAACCTTGAGATGTGGCAAGGAAAAGATTTGAAGATTGATATGATATGATATGATATGATATGATATGATATGATATGATATGATATGATATGATATGATATGATATGATATGGTATGATATGGTATGATATGATATGGTATGATATGATATGATATGATATGATATGATATGATATGATATGATATGATATGATATGATATGATATGATATGATATGATATGATATGATATGATATGATATGAAATGATATAATATGATATGATATGATATGATATGATATGATATGACATGATATAATATGATATGATATGATATGATATGATATGATATGATATGATATGATATAATATGATATGATATGATATGATATGATATGATATGATATGATATGATATGATATGATATGATATGAAATGATATGATATGATATGATATGATATGATAATATATGATATGATATGAAATGATATGATATGATATGATATGATATGATATGATATGATATGAAATGATATGAAATGATATGATATGATATGAAATGATATGATATGATATAATATGATATGATATGATATGATATGATATGGTATGATATGGTATGATATGATATGGTATGATATGATATGATATGATATGATATGATAATATATGATATGATATGAAATGATATGATATGATATGATATGATATGATATGATATGATATGATATGATATGATATGATATGATATGATATGACATGATATAATATGATATGATATGATATGATATGATATGATATGATATGATATGACATGATATAATATGATCTGATATGATATGATATGATATGATATGATATGATATGATATGATATATGATGATATTCCATATTGAGATAGCTATATATTTGAGCATAGTTAAAGTTGTAACCATTCTGAAGGGGTTTTTATTTAGAATCTGTTTGAACGGCCCTCGCATCCACACGCAAATGGCATTTGCCAGCTTCTCAGGTTTGCTGCTGGTTTGCCTCGTTAACCGTTAAGTTTGCGCGCGTGTATGCGTTTGTGTGAGCGCGTGTCTCGGCGGGGTGTGCGTGTGTGTATTGTTGTTTATAAGCGTGCATCCTGTACGTGTCCTTTTGCTAATCGCTGCGTTCAAAGTGTTGCACGGCAAAGCTGCAGCGACGCTTTTGGCGCGTGACACCCAAAACTCGCGGCAAATATAGAGAAACAGCCACACGGCGAGAGACAGCAACAGGGAGAGAGAGGGTGGGAGAATGTGGGCGGCTGCGAGAATGCGATCTTTGATTTGGCATCAGGCGGCGGAAGTATGCGGCGCATACGTGCTGCAAGTTTTTATTGCGGGTCGCCACCTTTTGGCAGCAAACTTTTTAAGCTAGCAAACTGCTGCCGCAATTCATTGCGCTTTTTACATTTGTTGCATTCACAGCAGCTACTGCTTGTTGCGTGCTGCTGTCATTTGCCACTGCGTTTTTTTTTCTCTTAAATATAATTTTTCTTTTTCGTTGGTTTTTCTTTCTATTATTCGCGTTTGTTTCGCCTGGCGCGAAAACTTGTTAAGCTTCAGAGCTCAGCGGCGCGTTAAACTTGCCGAAAACGGCAACAAAATTAATTAATTACAGTTTTGAATAACGAAAACTGTCGCTTGTGCTTTAAAAAATAATATTTACTCATTTTTTATTCATAATAATAATATGAACATAACCAA